AAATGGGATGGGCGTGGCACATCCGGGTTGAATTACTAATTGTTTACATTTTGGGGCTGGGGCATAACTCGCATAGGATACGTTTTTTGAAAAAGGGACTTTGCACACAATTACCTCATCCTTTTGGCCAGTTTGTGTTAACAGCTCAGTTGTTTCAGCTTTATAGTTCCAAAAAAGGAACGGGTTTTAACATTTGGATATTTTCATTTTTCGATTTTGACCTTTGTTGACATTTGTTGACCTATATCTTTTGACTTGAATAATGTAGAAGCTTGAAATTTGAAACACAGCATAACATTTGGAATATCAATTACCCTATGCAAAAAAATTAAGGTGGGCGTGGCACATCCGGGTAATATTACTCCTTATTGATATTTTTGGCCAGGAGCATAACTCGCAAAGTATACGTTTGTTCAAAATGGAACTTTGCATACAATTATCTCATGAATTGAGCCACTTTGTCTTAGAAGTTCGGTTGTTTCCGCTTCTTAGTTCAAAAAAAAGGAACAGGTTTTTGAAATTCAAAATTTTCAATTTTTGACCTTGACCTTTGATGACCTTGACCTTTATTGGGTCAAAGGTCATTGACGTTGTCTATTAGTTTATGCTTTCATATTTGACCTCTGACGTCTACTTTCGCTTTTATAGCTGTCCAAAAACATCCAAATTCGCAACTTTGGACTGCTCTAGCACGTGACCTAATTAACCTAGAGAGTAAATTTTTTCGGTTTCCTAATGTGCTTCTTGTGTACTTTAAATAGATATATAACAATCGTTTTTTTAAAGCAAAATTGAAATTCGTGATTTTTTCAAATTTGAGTTTTTTTTTTACAATATTTGCGACTTTTTGAGCTTAGTGTATGTATATGTTATGATCTATTTGATGTAGAACCTTGATATTTGGAATATAACTAGAAACTTTGAATATGAATTCACCTATGACAAAAAAACTTATGTGGGCGTGGCACATCCGGGTTGAATTACTAATTGTTTACATTTTGGGGCTGGGGCATAACTCGCATAGGATGCGTTTGTTCAAAAAGAGACTTTGCACACAATTACCTCATCCTTTTGGCCAGTATGTATTAACAGCTCAGTTGTTTCAGCTTTATAGTTTCAAAAAAGGAACGGGTTTTAACATTTGGATATTTTCATTTTTCGATTTTGACCTTTGTTGACTTTTGTTGACCTATTTCTTTTGACCTATATTATGTAGGAACTTGACATTTGGAACATAACGTAACATTTTGAATATTGATTAACTTATTCAAAAAAAATTGAGTTGGGCGTGGCACTTCCGGGTTAAATTACTCATTATTGACATTTTTGGCCAGGGGCATAACTCGCAAAGTATACATTTGTTCAAAATGGAACTTCTTACACAATTACCTCATATTTTGAGCCACTTTGTCTTAGAATTTCGGTTGTTTCCGCTTCTTAGTTCAAAAAAAGGAACAGGTTTTGGAAATTCAAAATTTTCGATTTTTGACCTTGACCTTTGTTGACCTTGACCTTTGTAGGATCAAACTTCATTGGCATTGGCTATCTATTTGTACTTTCATATTTGCTGTCCTATGTCAACTTCCGGTTTTATAGTCGTGTGCAATTAGAAATTTTGATGACGTATATCTCTTGATCTTTACCTTTTTAGACCTTCTTTTTTACAAGATCAAAGGTCATTGACCTTGGCTATCTGCTGATACTTTCATTTGTGAGGTCTGACGTCTACTTCCGGTATTAGAATCTTCTAAAAAATGAAAATTTCTCAACTTTAGACCGTTCTTGCGCTTGATCTAATTATCGTGGAAGGATGATTTTTTCGGGGTCTTTTCCAATTTGCTACATTTGCAAAGTCCCAATCTGTGCCACGAGTGGCTCTAGTTACTCTATTTGTTACTGCACCCTTGTTTATTACCTTTATGGTTGATGGGTATTACATTTATGGTGGGTTTTGGTTATTACATTTATGGTTAATTATTATTACATTTATGGTGGGGTTGGTAATTACATTTATGGTTGAAGACTATTACATTTATGGTGGGTATTACATTTATGGTTGATTTTTGTTACATTTATGGTGGGTATTACATTTATAGTGGGTATTACGTTTATGGGTAATACAGGTCGAAACTGCCAAAGACCTAACTTTGCTTAAGAACCCAAAAATACCCAAGTTTTGGGTCTTTTCGGGTAGCTTAGACCCCAAGTAGTTGGAAAAACACATAAAAGCAAAGAAAAAACGATTACAGGAAAAAATGGTCATTGGCAGTTGATTAATGCCCAAGTGTTGGGTCTTTTCCTGCAGCTTAGACCCCAAGGAGTTGGAAAAACACATAAAAGCAAAGTAAAAACGATTACAGCAAAAAATGACTGTTGGCAGTTTAAAAATCAAAGAGACTGACTGCACAAAAAGTGCGCACAGGCAAATACATCTTTATCTTCCGAACTTACAAAGCTAGATAGCTGAATTTTGCTGGCCCTATG